CAGCTAAGGATATTTCTGGGAATGACAGGATTCTATGGAATATGGATTCCAGGATTTGGATTCCAAATTTTGCATGAAGTTTTAAAAGACCCTGACACAGACACACTGTGCTGGACAGGGGAGCTACAAAAGTTGTTCCAAAGAATTAAGAAGCTTTTAACAGAAGCTCCTACATTGGGAATCCCTGATGGCAGGATTCTATGGAATATGGATTCCAGGATTTGGATTCCAAGCCTTTATATGAAGCTTTAAAAGGCCCTGATCCAGACACCCTGTGCTGGACAGGGGAGCTACAAAAAGTGATCCAAAGAATTAAAGAGCTTTTAACAGAAGCTCCAACGTTAGGAATTCCTCAGCAAGCCATTCATAGAAAGATCCCCTTCAGATCAGCTGCAGCTTAAATGGCAGGGACCTTATCAGGTGCTACTGAGCCAGCTACCTCACTACAATTAGGGTTAACCTTCTACCTCCTAAGTCTTCACAGGTGAACTCCAAAGACAGGCCTGATTATTCTGGTGAGCCAATTGAAGGTCGTAAGTACCTCTTCAAAAACAAAAAGATAATTAAAGCTTTAGCTTTCGTCACATCAAGACTGCTGCATCTTAAGGTAGACATGCTGTACCTGCCTCTTTGATTATCTCTGGGAGCTGTTATTGACAAAAAACTCCTTAATGGGTTCACCTATTATGATTCTCTATGCTCAAGCTAAATGAGTTTATAACCTACAAAAGGGTAGCCTATCACCACCCCACTATCTGGGAGTCTGTAAGATACGTTCTTTCCATCTTAAGGGGCACTTGCAATTGATTTTGTTCCAATTTTGCTTATGCTAATTAGCAATCTTGTATGTTTCAGAAGTCAAAAACTTCTGAGAATAACTGACCATGCAGGGCACACAGCCATTGGTGGTGACCAAAAATTCTCCAGCTCATAAAGCAAATTCATTAGATGAGATAGGCGGAGACTTCCAGACCCAGGACAGGCAGGGCCTGTGCTATGCCCCTAGTGAGCAGGAAGCAGCTATAGAAGATATGGTGATACTACACCCTTCAGCATCCCTTAAGATGAAGGTCTGGAGGCTCTGAGGGGGGAATGATACAGGTAAGCAGATAGGATCAAATAGATTAGGTTTGTGAGCTGGAAGACCACACCTCCTGTGTGATCTCATGTCCATGGCCCCACCTGTATGCCCACCTGCCAATCAGACTGTGTAACCACTCCCACTCTGGGAGTAAATAAAAGGCATGGAACAAGGTGGGCCCTTCCCTTGTTGCCCCATAGTTGTGTGGCTTTTCAGCCGCCCGCTCTCTCCTTTCTGGCCTGCATGCTTGCTCCACATGGCTTGTGGCCTGCTCTCTGCCTTTGCTTTGCTGCTGCTCATAAACATACGCTTGTTCCACATGCCTCACTCCTGCTCTCTGCCTGGTATGGACCCAGCTTAGCTTCTAGACCTCTCTTTCTTCCCTAAATAAAGCCCTCACTTTCCTGCACATTTCTCTCACTGAATAAATAGCTTAAAAATTTAAAAAACAAAACAAAAGAAAATCATCATTTGGAGGAGTCAGCCTTGGAGCAGGCATTTGGCTTAGTGGTTAAGACCCTGGTTAAGGGGCCGGCGCTGTGGCATAGCAGGTAAAGCTGCTGCCTGCAGAGCTGGCATCCCATATGGGTGCCAATTCAAGTCCTGGCTGCCCACTTCCAATCCAGCTCTCTGCTATGGCCTAGGAAAGCAGTGGAAGATGGCCCAAGTCCTTGTGTGCCTGTACCCATGTGGCAGACCCAGAAGAAGCTCCTGGCTCCTGGCTTTGGATTGGCTCAGCCTCACCCTTTGTGGCCATTTGGGGAATGAACCAGCAGAGGGAAGACCCTCTCTCTCTCCCTCTCTCTCTCTCTCTCTGCCTCTCTGTAACTCTGCCTTTCAAATAAATAAATAAATCTTTTTAAAAATAACAAAGTTAAAAATAAACTACAGAAGATTTTCTTGCCCATCACTATCTTATATTGCCAGAGAGGCTGGAAGTGTTGTGGGTCGGTTTTCTATGTGGGTTTAGGATTATCTCACAACTGACTAGTGAATCATAAACTTTCTGTTTCCTATTGACTGGTTTATACCAGTTGGAAATCAGACAAGTTTTTCCCATACTCTGTTAGGTAAGAAGTCAGATATGAGCTTATGTGTCTGTGACAAAGGCCTAAAGAGAAGACCTCTATGTCCAGCATATGCATCTGCATCTCAGAGTCATCCCGATAAACGTTTCAGGGGCAGCCCAGTATTTGCATCCTGCCCTGCCCCCTTCTACCTGATAACCTGCCAGGTGGGGGTCCCCACTCCTTCTGCCTGACAATCTTCCACAATCTTCCAGATGCAGCCCAGTATCTGCATTTCAAATACCCTGCTCCGGATCCTGATTCCCCAGGGGGTCTTGTTCATCCTTCCTCTACACCAAGGACTGTGCCAGCTAGGCTTCCTCCTGCCTGATACCTTCAGGGGAAGACTCAGATAGGAGCTTCTTAATATTTACATCCATAAAGTCCTTTGTTTCAGGAGGAGATGTGTGAAGACAAAGACCCATCTCCTTAACACCCCCCCACCCCACCCCCACGCCTCAACTGGACTGCGAGCTCAGCCCTCTGCCTCTCTGCTGAGCCATCCACCTGGCCTGGTCAGGTGTATTCTCCACTCAACCATGTAACCTCACTCTTCCCCCAGTCCAGCAACTGGGCACTCTCTCTCAGGTTCTGTCTGGAGAGATGCCCATCCATTCTTATGGATGTCCCTGCCCTAATAAACCTTGCTATTTTACTTTCCACTACTCTCTGTCTCATGCCTGAATTCTTTCTTGTTCGAAGACAAGAACCCTGACATTCTCTGGTAACATAACCATAATAAAGACTTGACAAACTTGTTTGAGAAATTATCAATAAGAGTGATTTTAAAGCACACAATAAGTGAAAATAAAAGTGCAAAAAATACAACCTGGGTTCTTGCTGCCAATAGTTAAATAGTACAGAAGGGAGTAGGGGGCAAGGACAAAGGAAGAAAGGTACACAGAAGGCTATGCAGCTGGATTAATTAGGAAGGGATGAAAGAAATTTGCTTTCGTTTATAACTTGCCTGTGATATACGTTATGAGAGGATTATTTTTAGAAATTTAGAAAATTTTTATCAGATTATCCTAAACATTAGAATTTTTAAAAATTAAAAAGTATGAAGTTGGAGACCAGCGCTGTGGCATAGTAGGCTAAGCCTGCAGTACCGGCATTCCATATAGGCACTGGTTCTAGTCCCAGCTGCTCCTCTTCTGATCCAGCTTCCTGCTAAGGCACCTGGGAAAGTGCTTGGGCCCCTGCACCCATATGGGAGACCCGAAGGAAGCTCCTGGCTCCTGGCTTCAGATCAGCCCAGCTCTAGCTATGGCAGCCATTTGAGGAATGAACCAGCAGATGGAAAACCTTTCTCTCTGTCTCTCCCTCTCTGTCTGTATGCTACCTCTGAAGTAAATAAATAAATTTTTTTTAAAAAAGTATGAAGTTGGGGCCAGCATTGTGGTTGGGTGGGTAAGGCTGACTGTGATGCTGGCACCCCATTATGGGAGCCGGTTCAAGTCCTGGCTGTTACACTTTCAGATCCAGCTCCCTGATAATGCTTCTGGGAAAGCAACAGAGGATGGCCCAAGTGTGGGTTCCTGCACCCACATTGGAGACCCAGAGGAAGCTCCTGGCTCCTGGCTCCTGGCTTCAGTTTGGCCATTGTGACCATTTGAGGAGATAGAAGATGGAAGATCTCTCTCTGTTTTTCCCTCCCTTTCAGTTACTCCGTTTTCAAATAAATAAACACTTTTTTTTTAAATGATGCTTTAAAAAAAAAAACCCTCCATTTTGGTGCTGGCATTGTGCCACAGCTGGTTAAACGGCCATCTGGGATGCTGGCATCCCATATCAGAGTGCTGGCTGAAATTCTGGCTGCTCCGCTTCTGACCCAGCTCCCTGGTACTACACCTGGGAAAGCAGTGGAAGATAGTTCAAGTACTTGAGCCCCTGCCACCCATGTGGGAGACCCACACTGAGTTCCAGGCTCCTGGCCTGGCCCAGCCCTTGCTGTTGTGGCCATTGGGGAATGCATCAGTGGATAGATCTGCATCTCTGCCTCAAATAAATAAAATAACACTCTGTATTTTGATGAGGACAATCAAAGTATCTACTATATGCCCAATAGTGCACAGATGCTGGGGGAAAAAATCCAGTTTTGTTAGGTAATTGATTATGTGTGTGTAGAATATCAGTGTGACCTGGGACTGAACAGTGATGCACTGGATAAGCACCACAGGTGGTCAGAGAAAGAATGTATCAGGAAACATGGCGTAGAAAAATCAGTCCAAGAGTAGGAAGTGGGTTACGCCTCCGGGGTGTATGGAATGCAGACAGGTAGGAAAGAGAGTTCCAGCATTCCAGATGAAGTAGACAAATATTGCATGAACTATTGAAAAATCCTTGGAAAAACTATATAAAGTACCTACGTGATCACTCAGGTCACCTCCCTTTCTCAGAAGACCACGTGTTAGCATTTGTGAAGATTTTTTTGACTGAAAGAGGATCAGCTTTTTCACCCTCCCAAGTAGGGAGGGTAGATCTGGGTGTGCATTCAGCTATGCAGCATGGGGAGAGTTAAGGGAACTGGTGTGCTGTACTGGTTGCCTGGAATGAGTCCTAAGTTACAGCTTATCTCTCTGAGTAGTAGCCAGCTGAGAAAAAGAAAGGAAATTTCTTGAACAAATTTGATGTTGGGTTTTCCTACCACCAGGGGGAGAAAACACATAAAAATTCCTAACTCCGGAGCAGCAACTGTCCCCCCACATGGCACCCACTAAACCCAGGTTCTTAGGGCCATGGCTTCTTAGTTTGTATTTTCTGAAACCACACATAGGAGCTTTGTCCAATAAGCTAAGGAATGAACTCCCACTTAAACATCATTCTAATTTATACACAGCTCACACAGCATCCTCCTAAGAAGACATTTATTATATGTACCGAAGGTTGAAAATGATTGCAAAATTCCCAAACTTACAAAAAATGGCCAAGTATTTTGCAATGGTATTACTGGTCTCTTAGAGAGCTCTCGGTTTCAGATGTACCCCTGCATTTCCTGTCTCAACTTCCCAAGAAACCAGGATGCTCCCAATTAACAGCCCTCCCCCTCTGCACCAACCCCCCCACCTCCAAGCCAGGTCTCTACCCACCAGCCTCAGAGTTACTTCCAAGGCAGTGCAGAGGCCCTGTGCACACAGCCCCCTGGTCTTTGGTCGTAACCTCTAGGCTTTGCTCTTCTGGCCAGATAAGGATTTATTTGTTCTTTACAGAGAAGCATGCATGAAAACCTTGCAGTATTGGCGCCTAGTTGCAGTGGGTTAATCCACCACCTGCTGCGCCGGCATCCCATGTGGGTTAATCCACCGCAGGCTGCTCCTCTTCCAATCCAGCTCTCTGCTGTGGCCTGGGAAAGCAGCAGAAGATGGTTCAAGTCCTTGGGCCCCTGCACCCACGTGGGAGACCCAGAAGAAGCTCCTGGCTCCTGGCTTCAGATCAGTGCAGCTCCGGTCCTTGCGGCCATTTGCAGAGTGAACCAACAGAAGAAAGGCCTTTCTCTCTGTTTCTCCCTCTCACTGTCTCTAATAAATAAATAAAAATCTTTTAAAAATTATATATGAAAAAAGAAAACCTTGCAGTATTTATTACCATGACATAATTTGAAGGATCTACATTCCAAAGTGCAATTTACTAAATGCTTAAGGTAATCCCTCATTAAAAACCAACCAACACACAGAAAGAAAAAAAAAAAAAGACTTCGTGTGTTTTTTGCCAACCCTTGGTACGACTGCTTCCCATACTGGAGTTCTGGGTCCAGGTCCTGGCTCCACTTAGGTCCAGATTCTTGCTCACGTACATCCTGGGAAGCAGCAGATGCCACCCACGTGGGAGATGCTGAGCCTGGCTTCCTTCTGCTTGGCCCAGCACCAGCTGTTGTGGGCACTTGGGGAATGAATCACTGGAAAATCTCTGTCTCTCTCTCTCTGCCTTTCAAATAAAACGAAAGTAAATAAAAATTGTAAAAACATCTTCACACACACAGATACACACACACACACACCTCCTAGCGGGTTCCAATTCTGCTCCCCGCCTCACAGGTGAGGACACAGAGGCACACAGGGCTGAGTAGCTTGCCTGGGTCCAGGGACGCGGTTTGAACCCAGCGGGGCTGAGTCGCCGGCTGCGTGGCTGTCTGGGCGGATGTCAGGGCCCTGCCCAGTAAAATACCTTTCACCTGCTCTGGGTTCCGGTCGTGACCTGCCTGAGGTATTCAGAGGGGCAGGGGCTGCAGGCTGCGAGGTGCCCGGGAGCACGTGACCGGCGGCGGGGCGGGGCCTGCAGAGAGCCCCGCCCCTTGCCAGTTAACAGGCGGCGGAGGCGCGGGCGCGCGCAGTTCGCTTGTGGCCCTGGTGGGCGGACTTGGCGTCGGGGCAGCGAGGGCCATGGCCACAGTCCGGGAGAAGGCGGCCGCGCTGGACTTCTCGGCTGGCCACAGCCCCGCGCAGAGGCCTCCAGGTGGGTATCAAGGACTCTCTCCCGGGGCGGCGCGGGGCGGGCTGGGGGCGCGCGCTGTGGTCCTCGTGGGGGGCGGGCCGGGTGGGGGGCGTTCGGTGGCCGCCGCCCGGAACGGTCGGCTCGGCGAGCCTGGCCCCGCTGCGGCCACTCGGACCGCGTTCCCCTCGGGCTGCGGCCCCTGCCGCCCGCGCAGCCCAGCTTTTCCCGAAGCCACCCAGACTGGAAGGTGGCCGCGCGGTGGGCCGTGCGCCCGCTGCGTGCCGGGCTCCGGCTGTGCACGGGGACCGCTGACAGCGCGAGGATACCTGGAGCGTGCATGGTTCTTGGCCCGGCCGCACACCTTGCCCGCGCAGCGTGGCTCGTGGCCGAGTGCCTCTTCGCTTTGTTCGGGACTCCTGCTGGGAGAGAGGTTTCTGTTCCGTGAGTTACCCTTGGCAGGGACTTGGCCGAAAGATGTTCATTGACTGAATAAGCAGATTTCGGCCAGGAGAAGTTTCTGGCTTTTTTTTTTTTTTTTTTTAATAGTTAAATGACATCAGGAGAGAAGTTGGTGAATATCACTACTGGCTAATCATACCTTTGGGGGGCAGTTCGTTTGGGATCTTGGCCTCTTCAAATGTTCAGACGGTTCTAAAGTGCTGATCCTAGCGTATCTACAACTCACTAAATAGGGGACTCAGATGGCTGTTAAGATGCCCAGATAACTCTGGGCTTTTTTTTTTTTTTTTGCCCTTTGGATGAGTTACAACATTGTCCTCTTTCTGGAGCTGCAGTGGGGCGGGACAAAAGCCTATAAAACACCAACCAGTAAAACAGTGATTCCTTCCTCCAGGTCAAATGGGTGCATCTCTCCGCCCCACTCTTGTGTCTAACTTACTAATTATTGTTCCTTTTAATTTTCAAAATGCTAATGATAAGTTGGGACAGAGAGGCAATTTTCATTTGTACTTTTCTAAGATCATAATACTGACTGTCTTCTGCTTCCATGTATAAGACTCCGGGAAGCACTTTTGAGGCCATTGCCTTGATTGCTATTGTGAAGAGAAGAGAAATACTGAAACATTTGGGAATGTTGAAAGCCAAATGCTATGGAAAGCAGTTCTGAGAAGTCTTCCGGCTCTCTCTTCCTGAAAGCAGAAAATTCCCAAATTTCACCTGATGAAAACCTGGCCGTTTGTCTCCTCGGTCAGCTGAAATACCAATTTGGGGCTTTGGGCGTTTGTGAACAAGTTCTGAGAAGGGATACAGGAATGTGTTTTTAAAAATTAAGAAGATGCCTCTCAGGAGACTTGGAGTGCTGGTTAGCGGATTTGAATGAGGAGGAGACCGCTGTGGACTTTACGCCAGGTGCAGTGGGCAGAGGGGCACGTTGTGTGTGCTCGCTTGTTTGGCTTGGTGCAGCTGGCCCTACCTGTTGGCGTTTGGTAAACCCTCTTCCACCCGTTAGTTTGTCTGTGACAGTCCTAGTGAACAGAGCGATGGCAGCCAATGGTTCTTGGTTCCTTGCCATTCTTGTTCTGTGTGCTCTGGCAAACAGCTTTGCGCTTCTCTTTCACCACTGCTTAGTAATTCTTCCATACTTTAAAGGGGTTACCATGACACGAGACGTGCTTTTGATGAAGAAATACGGTCAAGATGGCAACCTTTAGCCAGTCCTTTGAAGACACTTGTCTTTGGACAAGAAAGCAGTGTGTTATCCTGTTATCCTTTTATACTGTAACCTAATTCTTTGAATTTGCCTGGTGTCACTTTTCCAGAGAGCTCAAAGTGCTTCCCGTATGCTGTCTCATTAATCTGTATGGACTACTGCAGGGGCCAATGCTGGCTTTGGTTGATCATTATCTTAATATTTTAAAATGGTTCTTGTGAGTAGATTTATGTATTTCACCTGCCAGCAGCCATCTCTTCAGAGGCAATCTCGGCTTCGCCATGTCTGTAAAGCCAAACAGGAAGAAAATAAACTTTGAACTACCAAAACCAACATGCAGTAAAAGTGTTGCAATGTTGGCATTGGAAGCAGAGGAAGTAACTGCTGCCCAGTTTTTTTGGTTTTTTTTTTTTTTTTTTTTTAAGATTTATTTTACTTATTTGAAGAGTTACATAGAGAGGTAGAGCCGGGGAGGGGGGTGGAGAGAGGGAGGTGTCTTCCATCCGCTGGTTCACTCCCCAAATGGCTGCAACGACCAGAGCTGAGCTGATCCGAAGCCAGGAGCCTGCAGCTTTTTCCAGGTCTCCCACATGGGTGCAGGGGCCCAAGCATCCAGGCCATCTTCTACCAGGACATAGCAGAGAGCTGGATTGGAAGTGGAGCAGCCAGGACTTGAATTGGTGCCCATGAGGGATGCCAGTGCTGCAGACCAGGGCTTTAACCCACTGCGCTGCAGCGCTGGCCCCGACGCTGCCCAGTTTTAACACCCCAAACACAATTACCTTTATATTTATTTTCATGAGGTTTCAGTTACTGCCCATAATACAGTCCTTTTCCTTTGTTTTGAATTCCCGTGAATAATGTTTTAAAACCTCCTCTGAGAAAATATTTCTTAATCCTAAAGAGTACAGGATTTATAGATTTGTTTTCTGATGAAAAGTTAAATTGTCGGCCGGCGCCGCGGCTCAATAGGCTAATCCTCTGCCTGCGGCGCCGGCACACTGAGTTCTAGTCCTGGTCGGGGCGCCGATTCTGTCCCGGTTACCCCTCTTCCAGGCCAGCTCTCTGCTGTGGCCCGGGAGTGCAGTGGAGGATGGCCCAAATGCTTGGACCCTGCACCCGCATGGGAGACCAGGAGAAACACCTGGCTCCTGGCTTCAGATCAGCGTGGTGCGCCAGCCGCAGCAGCCATTGGGGGGTGAACCAATGGTAAAGGAAGACCTTTCTCTCTGTTTTTCTCTCACTGTCCACTCTGCCTGTCAAAAAAATAAAATAAAAAAGAAAAGTTAAATTGTCTAGTGTGTGTCACATCTTGTCTTCATCTGCTAGTGGTCTTTGAATTTCTTTCATGGGGTGACATCACCATCCAGGTGGTAGGAGTAGGTAAAGGATAAACTGAGTTCAGGGCAAGAAGAAGAAAGATATCTCCCATTCTTTTTTACTTTTGAAACTAAAAATTTTAGAATAGATTCTGTTTACATGAAGTCATGAGGTTAGCACATGAAGTTCTCATGTGCCCTACAGTTCTCATTATGTTAGTGCAGTCCATTTGTCAGCATATGAACCAGTATTGATACATGGTTATTAACTGAAGTCTATACTCAGATCTCTTTGGTTTTTGCCCCTTCCTCTTTCTATTCTAGGATCCTATTCGGGATATGACATTGCTTTGAGTTGTGACTCCTTGGCCTCTTCCAGACTGCGACAGTTCCCCCTTTGTTTTTAGTTACACACCTGTTAATTACTGCTAGCTATACATTCCTCACAATAGCATAGAACTAGGGTTAGTTCTCTTTTGCAACAGAGAAGTTAGGCAGTTTTTCCATTATTAGTAAATGATGGACCCAAAAGTGGAACCCAGGTTGCTGAGACTTTTGAATCCACGTGTTTTCTACTTTTTGTGTTCATAGCACCTAATACTGTGCCCGCTGCGTTAACACAAGTTTCATGTCTGAACAGTATTCAACCCAAGGCTTCTCAACCTCAGCCTTGTTGACATTATCTTTGTTTTAGGGGCCACCTTTTGCATTGCAGGATGTTTGGTAGCATCTCTGTCCTCTACCCATAGATGCCAGTAGCACCTATACCCTGTGACAACAGAAACGTCTTCAGATATGCCCCTTGGAGGGTAAAATTGCCTACTGAGAACCATTGTTAACCCTTCTTTAATCATGTTTTTTAGTAGTTAGCAGTAATCTCCACTGATATTGATTAACCAATTGTATTCTGTTGCAATCTGTAAAGCAGTTAAATAATTTGAACCTCTGAACTGTGAGGAGATTTGGAAGGGATAAGGCACTAACATACCGTTTTTTCAAGATTTATGGAAAATCAAGAGTTACCTAGATTCTGCTGGTGCCGCGGCTCAATAGGCTAATCCTCCGCCTTGCGGCGCCGGCACCCCGGGTTCTAGTCCCGATCGGGGCGCCGGATTCTGTCCCAGTTGCCCCTCTTCCAGGCCAGCTCTTTGCTATGGCCAGGGAGTGCAGTGGAGGATGGCCCAAGTGCTTGGGCCCTGCACCCGCATGGGAGACCGGGAGAAGCACCTGGCTCCTGGCTTCAGATCAGCACGATGCACCGGCCTCAACATGCCTGCCACAGTGGCCATTGGAGGGTGAACCAACGGCAAAAAGGAAGACCTTTCTCTCTGTCTCTCTCTCTCTCTCGCTATCCACTCTGCCTGTAAAAAAAAAAAAAAAAATTTGTGGGGAACCACAAAATACCTCGAATAGAGGTATTTTAATAGACAAAAAAAAAAAAAAAGTTACCTAGATTCTTTGAAGAATTTAAAGCCTGATAAAGAAAACAAATGTGTTGTGAGCTGGCGTTGTGATACAGTGAGATAAGTTGTCTCCTGTGACATGAGCACCCCATGTTGGAGTGTGGGTTTGAGTCCTGGCTGCTCTGCTTCCCACCCAGCACCCTGCTGATGGACCTAGGAAAGCAGTGGAGGATGGCCCATGAGGTGACCAGGGTGGAGTTCCTGGCTCCTGGCTTTGGCCTGGACCAGCCCCAGTCATTGCAACCATTTGGGGAGTGA